TTCCTTCCTTCCTTCCTTCCTTCCTTCCTTCCTTCCTTCCTTCCTTCCTTCAAAAAGACTTGGTGTACTGATAGTAGTACAGCCTTGTGATTGTATGACATTCACTAAGAACATAAGGGCACAACCATATGCCTTAGTCAGAAAATCCATCCATGGCTGGGGGAAACAGCGATTAGCCATCAGTGGACACATAGAGATAAACCATGGTAGGATAACACTACCATACATCAAAAACATCTTAGAAACAACCAACAGTAGCCCCCCCCCCAAAAAAAAACAGGAGTCACCTACAACATACTATAACAGCCACTATGTAGGACAGACAGGCAGAAGACCAGCAGACCGCATCCATGAACACCAACTAGCAGTCAGAAGACACAATGAAAATTCCTTAATCTCGCAACACATGGACAGACTCAACCACAGTGTCAACCGGGAAATTGAGCATCCCAGACTAAGCTAAATCCAAAACTGCTAGGGAATTCCTGGAAGTTTGACATTCAGATAAATCAGCCATCAACAGACACATAGAAGTAAACCAGAATTACGCACCATTCAAAAGAGACAATAAAAAACCTAAGAACGAAACAAAAAGACCAGAACACATCCTCTCCTGCAGCCAACACTCAGATAAGCAGGGATTTACACCAGACAAACAATCAAGCAGAAAACGATACCTTAATCAAGGAACTCCCAAGGAGAAAACCACACCCCCACTAACGCTGGCAGGGCAAGCTAATGTACATAAACAGGGAGCAATCCCCACGCTTACTTCCACTGATATTACCTAGTTGGGTAATGAAATGTCTGCAAACAAACCACCAAGTTCAGAGAGCACCAAGGACTCTACTGTATATAATCTACATGTCCAGGAAATGTATGACAGATACACTCACAACTCCCACATTTTCAACTATGTCTTTTATACTGCATGGCAATGTTTCTGAACTGCATTCTAGTTAGAAGTTGCTTTGTTTTCACAGTTTTTGAAAGTGTTTTTCACATTTCCAGTCACCGATATCTGCTTATTTTCTGAATTAAAAATAGACGCCCAAACAGCTTTACTTTTAAAATGCATAAAGAAAAAAAAAATGACCCGCCATGCTCTCGGTTTTTACATGCCACCTGAGTCAAGCCCCAGCCAATGATTCAGGCAGAGATATGAAAAGCAGCATTTAAATATAAATACCGTTTTTAAAAAATAAGACCATCCATGGTGACTCAGGCGGGGACACAATAAGTGAGCTCTTCTGCTGTATTTCTGGGCCTTTTCCCATTTCTGAGTTTAAGTGTTGTCCACCCATTTTTGCATTAGAGGTGTACTGTCAGTCTTGCAAGATTCTGTTACTGTAACCTTACAATAAATGCAGTGTTAGTACTCATGTTTGGTGCTTCTTGTCTGGACTATCTCGAAGGGCTGACATCAGCAGGGAAAATTTAATCAGATCGCTGAAACAGGAATGGGGTGAACCTGGTTTGGGGAATCTACGTATCTTCTCTAGCTTGGTTTATTGCTCTCTTCCACCACCATCACCACCTGCCTGCCAGCCCATTCTGAGATCTCCCGAGTTAAAATAATATAAAATAAAGAAAGGAATGACTGTAAGGCAGAAACCGTCCCAAAAAGAAAGGAAAGAAACCCTGCAGTGATACTGCAACTAGCTAGGTTGCAGAAGCAAAAGAACTTAAATGGATTCCTAGTTTTAAGGTAAGGTGTACTTTAACTCTCCATCTGGCCAATAGGGTCATCCCAGATTTCGATTTGCCCTTTTTTCTTTAGGTTATTCTGGCATAAGCAGTGTGAGGAAGAAAACAGGGCTAAGTCATAACTGCTGGTTCAACTATATGGACTTCCTCTTATTGTGCATCCTTAAGAGAAAAATTGAGCAAAGTTGCAATGGGCTGAACCACAAGTCAAAAGCAAGCAATCATTTCACAAGGCTTTTCTGTGAAAAGATCACTTCTGCAGAAAGTCTGGCTTTCACCTTAATTTCAAACTGGCTTGCTTTTAGAATGTGAATTCTTTTAAGAGTAAAAAAGTCAAAGAAAGCCAGTTTGGTGTAGTGGTGAAGGCACCAGGGTAGAGACTATGAGTTCTTGTCCCGCCTTAGGCACGAAGCCAGCTGGGGGACCTTGGACCAGTCACTCTCTCTCAACCCTGGAAAGGAAGCAAGGGCAAACCACTTCGGAAATCTTGCCAAGAAAACTGCAGGGACTTGTCCAGGAGTCAAGACTGGCTCGAAGGCATGCAGAGACACACACACACAAAGAGTTACACATCTCATTTTCTGAGATTCACATAAGCAATCTTATATGCAAGTCTTAAATAAAATGCATTAATATAAAGCATCATAATACTTCCAGTTAGAATTGCCAGCTTTTGAGCCAATTCCTCTAGTTTTCTCTAGAATGGTTATTAGATTCCTAATCATTTGTTTAGGGATGGGCAACTTTTTTGCTCACTGAAGAGCCTGCTTACATTTTTGAGGGAACAAGGAGAACAAAATGGATAGGGTCTTGTTGCACCCACGGGCAGGACCAGGTTTTCAAATGCCACAAGGTTAAAACCAGGACTGTTGGCTCTGTGTGGAGTTGCCTTCTGTGGTCAGCAACAGAACTGAACCAAATAACTTTGAGGGGACGTCTTCACTTCTCCCACCAAAGTCTCACCAGGCATGAAGGGTGACACAATTCCCAGAATTCCTGGCATGCATGGAGTAACCTGATTGGGAGTATCTCTCTACAGCTCTTGGCTGATTCTTGGATCCCATTGGGACAAAGACTAGGGAAATTGGTCTTTGTGGTTCTGCCTAGAGAACATCAGTTTTACTGGTTTTGTCAACACTGTTTTCATACAATGGATGAAATCATTTAAAATTCCCATTAGACAGCAGAGGCAGATAATATTTGCTTTCCCATGTTAGGATTTCTCTTCCTTCTGTTTGTTGTCCATACCATATATACTGGTACGGGCAGAGTAGGGGGGGTTACCACACTCATTCTCCTTGATCTTTTAGTGGCTTTCAATATCATCAAACATGGTATCCTTTTGGACCACCTATGGGGAGGTGGCCATGTTGGAAGCACCATGTTGCTGTGGTTGTAATGGCCAGATGTGGCTCTGAGGAGTCTGAAGAGGAGGACGTTGTGGAACACCAGCCTGCCTCAGAGCATCAGGGAGACACCTGAGACTGATCTGGCTGCAGACCCTATGGAGCCGCTGGGAGCAGCAGGGGCTGAGGGATCAGTTCCACGACCTCCTCCCAGCCCTAAAGCACCTAGTGGTGAGCAAAGGGCTGAACAGAGGAGGTCTGCATGGCTCCTTGCAAGGCAAGGGCATTCCCACCAGTGATTGCCTGCACCTGCTAGGGCTCTATTTCAGAGCCACCACAAGCAGGCAAACCTTTGTTGGGAATAACTGCTCCACTTGCTCAATTCTCTGCCCTTTGAGCCTGGAACTCTCACCTCTGAAAACCCTGTGCCTTGAACCCATATTGGCTGTCCATCTACAACAGTTCTACAATCTCTGGACTGTGCCCGGACTGTGCTTCTGCCTGCTCCTTGGAACTTTGTTTATTGGGACTGAGTCTGTAAGTTTCTTGAGGGATTTGGGACTGCTTAAAATTCAGTGTGTGTGTGTATCTCCATCCACGCTCTGCCTGCTGTTGCTGTATGTCTTTATAAAAGTAAACCCTTGGGCTGTTCTCCTTGTGTGTGTGTCAGGCCTGGGACAGGACAGTGGTTCTCCTCTTTTCTTAGCAGATGGTTTCAGACAGCGTTGATGGTGGGGAAAGATCAAGCCCAAGCCCAAGGACCCTCACTTGTGGGATGACAAGGCTCTTATAGATTTTGCACTATAAGTTCATTTAAATATCTAATTGGCCTGATTACTGTAAAATTAACTTCCTCAAAATACATCTCTTGGAAGTCAGAGTTGATCTAATTGTCATTCCATGTCCACAACCTGTTGTCTTCATACTAATTAACTTAGCCTGATCAAAGCCTATCACTAGTAAAGTCTATGCCTCTCTCTTCTCCCACATTCAGCTTAAAACCATCTTAAAAGGTTTTGGAATTCCCTTTCCAAATATATGTTGCCTTCTCCTGGTGAGGTGCAGCACGTTTGCCAAGAAGTCCATCATGATAGTGTTGTAGATCATGCTTTAGGAATCCAAACCTTATAAATAATTTCTTCTTGGGCAATTTTTCACTTCCAGGATACTGTTTTTGTTTCTTGACCATCATCTAGTAAGATGGATGAATGGAAATGCTGTTGGCTTAATATGGCCTTTCTCAACATCCTAATCTCCATTTGAATTAGACCTCAGCTCCTAGCACTCTGGCTGGGACAATGGGAGCTGCAGACTCACGCAAGTTAGAAAAATTGCTGATGGAGTAGCACCATATTTCCTGGAAACACAGATGAGTGATTATTTGTTATTCATTTGCACTGAAAACATAC